TCGACGGCGACGCGGTCGCCGGGCTTGAGGTGCGTGACAGAGGGGTGGACTGCGACGACCTACCGATAGGGGGTTAGCTTGCTGCTCGATGGAGAAGGAGTAATGCAAGACTTGCCTGGCCTGCGGACTCGTGGCCGAGGATGTGGTCATCCTCGACGATCATGGGCCCGATGCACCCAGCGTGCCAGAAGTGCACATCAGAGCTGCAGCGCCGCGGTGGTCAGCGTGTCGGTACTGGTCGGGGGCATCGATGGGGTGGGGCGTACCCGCAGATGCCAGTGCTCTTGATCTCGACAACCACCTCGCCAGGCGCGAGCGCATCGCCGCTCTTGATCTCGTCGATCGAGGGCGCGGCGGGCGCGATCCAGAGCTTGTGCTCGGGGTTGGTGTACACACCGATGTTTTCTTTGACGAGCTCGACGGTTTGGGACATGGTGGGCGGGGTGAAGGCGGGGTTGAGGGGAATTCAGTGTTTATAAGGGACGCACTGGGGCGGCCGGCGGGTCGGTCTGGAACAGAGAACTCACGACGGCAGCTTGTTTTTCATTTTTGACCATCGACAAGTGAGAAGAGCGGGGGCTTGCAGTCAGCGGGTCCCCTCCGTCCGGCCCATAGGCCCGGCCCTCCGCTCGGCAGATAATTTTATTTATCTTCCGTTCCGTCCACGTCCGGCCTCTCGATCTCCTCAGCGTCGACGAGGGCGGCCAGGACTATCGGATCCCCGCACGCCAGTGGTGCAGCGGTGGTGGAAGGAGATTGGACGGCGACAGGCGTGGTGTGACAGCGCGCCCCTATTGAAAGCGAGAAACGCGTATCGTCACGCGTCACCCCCCGTGACAGGCGCGTCCGATGCGTGACCCGGCCCTCGCGTCGCGTCCTCCGCTCACTGAGTTCGGAAACTCATCCTTTCATATTAGCTGCTCTATCAGTTCCTGGGATTCAATTTTTGACAAGTCGACTGATAAAACGGAGGTATAATTCACGCAGCAGCAATCTTCCCACCCATACCCTCTAATTCCACGCCGCCTGCGCAAACAGCCCCAGCACCTCGTTCGTCAGCAGCGGCGTATACACCGTCGTATCCGTCGCGGTATACTGGCGTGCGCTCTGCACGCTGTTGAGAACCTGCAGGAGCTGCGGCTGGAAGAAGTTCACGTAGACAAGATCGATGGGCGCGCTTGCAGACACGTTTGGCGCGGCCGACGCGATGAAGGCCGGCGTGGAGAAGAACGGCAGCGGCGCGTGCGCGATGTCGTCGCCGACGCCCGGGCAGTTCTGGCGGACGCGCGGGTCAGCACGAGGAAGGTTGGTCAAAACATAGAGATGAACTCACATCTTTTGTGACATATCCCAACGTCAAATTGCTCGCATCGCGCAGCGCGATCCCATGCCGCTTGTCCATCTCCTCCAGCCACGCCTTGTACCGCATGCCGACCTCGCCGCGCTCGTACAGCGCGGCATCGTACGCCTCGAGCGCGCGGCGCGTCTCGCCCTGCTTGTTGAGCTCCGCGAAGAGCGCCTGCGCGACGCTGAGCGTGACGTTCGGGATGAACGAGTACGCGTCGACGAACGGCGACGACGTCAGCTGGTCGTTCTTCGTGAACGAGCCCTTGTACAGGTCGAAGCGCAGCGCGCCCGAGTTCGAGATGATGTACTTCGGGATCGAGGCGCGGCTGTTGTTGATCGCGAGCGCGGTGGGCGTGGCTTGTTCGGCGAAGAGGGAGAGGAGCGAGCCGTTTGAGGGGTATGGGTTCCTGCAAAGTATGGGATTAGTAGTTTACGATAGCAGGAGCGGAGAGATTCGTACCGGCTCAGGGTATAATCCTGGGGCGCCGTTCCGTACAGGAAGGACAGGTCAAAGTTGTCGGACAGCTGGTTGAGACCCTTGGTGATCTCCTTGCCGCGCACGGTGTCGAACGTGTTGTTCTTGCGTCCGGTGTGATACTATATGCGCGTGAGTACGGGCTGGGGGCACGACAGGTTTTGAATTACCTCGTATGTGACACGGTTTGGATCCAGGTAGCGTCTCGTGAAAGAGATATCCTTCTTGCCATGCCTTTCGTCCAAACCCGCGCCTGCAAAGCTCATCTAAGAAAACGTCGACGCAAGCTAGGACTGCAAACTTACTCAACCAGCCTACAGATCCAGTCAGCGATAATGATCGAAAGGCGAGATAGGCCGTACATACCGACAGTCTCCATGTACCTCCCACTCTCCAGCGCAATAGAACGGTTGTCGTATTGCTGACAGTCACGAATGTGAGTGTGGCCGCCGAGGATCAAGATAGGCGTCGTCGGGTGGACAGCGCGGACGGCGTTGAAGACGGTGGGCCCTATTCAAACACCGTCAGCCAGGGTCGAAGGATATGGAGGAATGCGAATACACTTGTCTTTCGAGACAGGCATGTGTCTAGAAACATACATGAGCCTTACGCGCAGTCTAAGAAGGAAGGCTGCTTACCCTGCAAGCAGGAAGAAATCGGGCTCCTCTTTGATGGCTTCAGCGAACTATAACTGCTGTTCAACACCAGAATATGAAGTGCAAAAAACTGGTGCGCACCCAGGCCTCCTTAATCATGTCCTCGACCTTCTGCACGGTCGTGTTCGCAGAGTTTCCGGTAAAGTCGAAAAGAACGCCGAGAGACGTGACCTTGCGGCCTCTGCACGAGAGCCGGAATCAGCCTCAGCGCACCTTATGTGATAATGGAACACGCACTTTCTGGTCTTGAATTTCGCATAGCGACCTTTTGTGGAGATGAGTAGGCGCAGGTACGGAGAAGTAACCGACTCACTGCCGACCGGGACGCTGACCGGCTTCCCGTCCGTACCATTGAGAGTAATGTTCACGTTGGAGGAGAGGTAGCGGCCAGGGAATTTGGGCGCGAAGTTCTTATGCCTATATGCACCCAAATTAGCGCAATATTCTGAGCGAAAACACGAAAGCCGTACATATCGAGCGTGTTTGCGTAAATGTAAAGCTCATGGCTGCATATATGCGCGTCAGTCAGATGCATGATGCTATTGAAACGTGCGGTACTCACTTTCCGATAGCAAGGAGGTCGTAGGGCAGTTGCGCGATGAATTTGTTGGACTATATGCCGAAAGAATTAGTACGGAAGGATTGGGCAAGTGTATGAAGACAAACCTCATGCCCGTCGATTCCTCCTGGAGGGAATCCGTCGGACAGGCCGGTACCTTCGTAAGAGAAAGGCTCAGTAGTCAGTTCTGCAGTGTCACACGACCATGTATAGGGAGCACATACCGTCATGCAAGTCGCCGGAATCGACCAACAGAAGGTCGACATCTTTCTCCTACACGCAACGCAGCCGTTAGCGCATACCAGAGTCTTATAAACTCGAACTTACAAGCGCCATCTCCTTCATATGCGCCACGAACGACGCGAAATCGCCAAAATCCCCACTAAACGCGCACAAACGCTCAATCCCTCCTCCAGCAAGACATGTACACAGACCGACGCACCTGTAATTCGGCTCTGGCCACGACGACTTCTGGTGCCCCAGCAGCCAGCCATGGCTGTCCGTCGTATGGATGATGTTCACGTCGCCCCACACGAGCGGGCGCGTGGGCGCGGGCAGCGGGACGGACGGAAACGCCCTGCGGAGGAGCGACGCGTCGGTGTGCGAGTCGTGTGCGTGTGCGTGGTCGTGGTCGTCCCCGCATGCGCGCGCTCCGAGGGTGAGCGCGCTGGCGACGAGAGCCGGGAGGGCCAGAGCAAACATGTCCTCTTGAAAGACGCAAACAGCTGTGGTCGAGTAAGACTCGGGCGGGCGTAACGGGCTTTTATCTGAGCTGCCCCATTTGATATATTGATAGCTCGGTTATAGATATCCTCGGATGGTGGGTTGCCCTCTGGATCCCTGATTTGCATCAACGTTCGTAGAGCAAGATGGACATCCCATCAGGCGTGTCGTGATGCCCACACGGTGCGTTGTACGAACAGAGGCGATACGGCGGCTTGTGGGCCTGGCACGCGGTTACTGGCGTTGTGTACGTCGGGGAGAGAGATATCAGTGGTCAAGTATTGGTAGTCGAAGAGTGCGCGCTCGTCGCGGGTCACGGGTGGCGGCATGAACGCGCGCGTCCGACGATCGCGACGATGCCGGCGGCAGCGCAGTACGTAGTATATTGCCAGCGCTTATATGGGCTTTCGACCTTGGCACGAACGTTCAACTGGCATTTTTCCATATCGTCGTTACGTCTGTCTCCCGTCGTCGGACGTCAGGTAAGTACGGCCGCACCTAGGGCAATACTGCATCATTTTGGAGTCGATTTCAGGTACATTCGACAGGCGCGCACGTCCTCCGAACGAAATAGGGCAATTCACTGGTCAACTGTGATAGTAGACGGCCCGCCGCTATATTTGAAGCGTAGGTGGGAGACTCTCACAATCAGCTGTGATACCACGACAGGGCGCCTGGAAACCCACGGAGCGCAACACTACCTCTGGACATCAATACGAACAAAAATATAGACGCGAAGGATAAATCTGAAACTGTTCTTTGCTCTTCAAGGCATCCACACAGAGATGATGCCTCTCATGCACCCTAGGCCATCTTCTTGCTTGAAACAACGACGCTATGACGGCGTGCGATCGACTCGATTTTCACGCACATTCGCCGGTTTCACGATCCCCCCTGAAGTCTGGTCGATAAACCCTTTCACGCAATTTATGCTCTCAGCTAACGCAGCTTTTTTCAGTTTGACACCGCATCCAAGTTGACAAGCTTGTCCAATAGTGCCCAGCTGGAGATTGCTCGCCCTTGTGCAATGTCGATTTTGGAGGATTTCTGCCCAATACATTTTTTACACCTTGCAGCAGCCTGACACGTACTGGAACCCCCTCGGCATCTAGAGTCCACGCCCCCACTGCAACAGTATACCCTTGGGAGTCGGGACAACAGTCTGGGAGGTGGGCCTTTGGTCTGTCGACATCTACACGGAGACAGGATTCTGATGAGGCATGTATGATACACCATTATAGGCGCTGTAGTGTAGTGGTTATCACTCGGGATTTTGAAGATAATGAAGCTTCCCGAAACCCAGGTTCGAACCCTGGCAGAGCCTCTCGTTTGTTTGCAGAAGTCTTATTTTTCCTTTTTCACCCTCCCTTGCTAGGGAATCTACAGGGAACGCTAGTGAGGCGCGAGACACAGGATGTGCGGGTCATGTTGCACTCTATGTACTCGCTTCTACCGGGTATGCTCTACTCGAAGCTTGCGATTGCCAAACTGATCATATGTATGTCACCATAAATTGCCTATCGGAGTACATGCATTCAGTGGTCCGCGATGAACCCGCCAGTCTTGCTCCCAGACACAAAATACCGAACGCGGGGCTTCGCCCAACTGATGAGCTCGTTCAGCATCGCAAGCCAGGCATCGTACATCGCCGTGAGATACGCACACGGCCACGCCGCATCGACCGCATCGACGACGGCGCCGGCCACCACCCGGACAAACCGAGCAGCATCGACCACCCACAGTGCGCACTTGCACAGGAGCGGGATCAGCGTGATGAGCCAGACGGCGAGGGACACGGCGAAGAGGCGCGAGATGTACCACTGCGGGTCGTCGGCGAACATGCGCCGCAGGACGCTCAGCTCGTGCATGATCGTGCCCTGGAACGGACAGAACTCGTCCTTGGGGTCGTGCGTCCCTGCGCCGATGTGAGCTGCGGTGTCAACATGCGGGACGTCAGGAGGGCACTTACAGAGGACGTGCAGGACTCGGCGCCCGTCCAGCATGCTCATGAGCGCAAGGCCCGAGAGCCAGTCGGGGTCCTTAGGCTCGAAGACCTCCCACCGCTGGGGATCAATTGGCTGCGCGGTAGTCGGTCGGCTGTCCGGCGATGCGACAGTAAGTGGAAACGAGAACTTACCCCGCAATTGACGATGCCCCAATACGTCCGAATCTGGCGCAGACTGAGCCCGCCCTTCAGACCCAAAGGAAAGTCGGCTTGGTCGAGACAGGGCTTCTGTGCGCGATATGCCTTGAGAGAGGGATATAGTTTTACTCGTATGCAGCTGGAAGCCGGGAAGGTATAAATGAGCCTTCTAGGAAGAGCGGTGTGCACGCGCCACATACCCTGGGGAAGGCACGATGAACCAGTCGGTGCGGGCGATGGGCGCCCCGAAATACTGCATACGCAGGAGCTTGACTACTTCAGCTAGGGATAGATCCCACTGCTCGGCATAGCGCCACAGGTTCTTGAGATCGCCGAGAGCTTGCATCGAAGGTTTCGGGGTGCTGGGAGGAAGAGGACTAGGAAACAGAAACAGCGTCTTGCAGGGTGTGTGACAGCACAAATACAGGGATGCTCTTAAGTGCGTTCATGGGGCCCAGCGTTTATTGTTCCAGATTAGACGCGGGAGCTGTGCAGCGTGCGTCGTGAGGAAGAGAGAACAAGGCTTGCGTCCCAGTTTGTCGAGGGGCGACGCAGCTTATTGTGAGCTGCGACTTTGTAAGGCCAGCCCATGGGTACTTCTCTGCTCCTTCTGGTATCTGCGTTGCTAGCCTCGCGATGTAGAAAGGGACTTACCGGTGGTTTGAGTCGGTGATCATATCACGAAGGAAAGGCGCGCAAGGCTTCACAATAAGACAGTCGCGAGAATCATGCTCACCTGACGGTCAAAACAAAGCCTCATCAGCAGCTGATTTTCGCATCTCAATGTTCTTTCAGCGTGGAAGCTCGCCGCAGAGATCGTTGTCACCATGTCTTTCATGAGGACGAGAGAGCAGGAGTTGAGGAGAAGGAACGGTGACCGTGCCTGTTTAGGCAAGGTAGTCCTACTGACGTGGTTTCCCACGATACCATAAGTACGACCACACCGACACCGTGAGGCCCGCCGACACCACACCCGACGACGAGCTCGAGTTCAACCTCGCCTGCCAGTCCGACCCGCACCCATGAACTCCCTCTACACCCTCGGCGTGCGCCAGACAAATTCCATCCAGGCGGACCTGGAGCGCCTGCGCAATGGCGAAGCGAACGCCTCTATCCTAGGTGCGTCTCGCTGCTTCCGGGCGTGGACGATATGAGTGTGGAGCTGGATAGCGGGCGGCTGACTGCGGGGCGTTAGGGCAGGTATCGGCGTCCTTGACGGGCCTGAGCAGGACAATCGACGACTATGATTCCATGGCGCGGCGCGAGATGATAAAGGCGAAGCAGGAGAAGGCGTCGGCGTGCGTTCCTTGCATCTCTATCATTTGGTAGTCCATTTGACCTGATGATTTCGTGAATACACCAGGCGACTACAAAAGTTCCGAAGCGACTATGCAGAGCTCAAGAAAGAGCTCGAGCGAATGACACACGAGGTGCGTGCACCATCCAACTCACCACGACAGGTCCGCTGACGACCAGCGCACCCCGCAGCACGCAGACGCACAACGCGCCGAGCTGCTCTCCGGCGCAAACCCGCTCGCGCCGGGCGCCTCCGACACACGGCGGCGCTTCCACCCGCCAGGCTCGACGCTCAACCCGCCCGACGACCTCTCCGAGTCGCCGTTCCGCACGCCGACGCCGTCCTACATGGGCGTGACGCGCGAGCAGCACGCGCTGCACGAGCACACGTTCATCCACAACACCGAGGCGCGGCTCGACGACTTCCTCGCGCAGGGCCGCGAGGTGCTCGACAACCTCGTCGACCAGCGCAACATGCTCAAGGGCACGCAGCGCCGCCTGCTTGATGCGGCGAACACGCTCGGGCTCAGTCGGGATGTCATTGGCTGGATCGAGCGGAGAAGGTGCGCTTTACCATTCCCGCATTTATTTCATTTTATTTTGCGCGCGTGACGGGAGCTGATTGCGCTGCGCAGTACGCAAGACATGTATATCTTCCTTGCGGGTGCTGTGTTCACGTTCGTCTGCTTCTATTTGATATGGAAGTATCTAGGGTAGGTGGGGCTGCGGCGCGACGGTGGGTTGCGGTTGCTGGGCTGCTGCTGTTGGATTACGGACCGTATGCTACTTGCCCGTGTATGATATTCGCTGGTAATTCCATCTACTGCTTATACCCATTTGCCAGTCTGCGCTCGCTGAAAATCAAACGAATGTTGTTGATACAGATATCTATGTACAGTATTACACGGTGTGTTCTGAGACATCGGTTTCTTGGTTTATGTGGTGTCAATATGTGGATATAGCAATGGTTGATCGCGATGAACGTAGGACAAGGTAACGAGACAGTTGATTTAGGTATGTATGTGGGGATGTGTGAATGTGTGGGTGTGCGTTCGGCAACGATGGCGTGTACAGCTTCAAACTTCATGACGCGATAACAGAGAACAACGCAAGCGAGGACAACAAGCGCGACGTAGCGAACGAGAAAGGACAACAACAGATAGTCGTACAAAACAAAACAGGACGGATGCAAGGGATGTCACTTACCTTCAAAAATACACCGTGAACGGCCGCAGGCGACGTGCGAGCCGTCTACCAAGGGCCGCGCGACACATTCGTCCACCCGCTGTGCGAGACATTGCTCGCGCGCTCGCTCCCAGCCGCGCTGACGACAGACTTGGTGGCCACGGGGGCATCCCAGGCTCCCCACGCCTTGTCAGTCTTACCAGCAGCAGGCTGGCGCGCCGCGGGGCTGTTCCGCGCGTTCTTCGCGTTCTTGGGAGCGGGCTTGCGCACCGCGGGGGCGGGCGCGTCCCAGGGCGTCGACACGGCGGACCACGCCTTGCTGCGCGAGCTCTTGACGCTCCCGACCTCGCTCGCGGCGTCGTTGTTGCCGGCCGCGGGCTGGGAGGGCGCCGCCTTGGACCGCGGCGCACGGGACGCGGCGCTGACGCTGCTGGCGCCGTCGTTGTCCCACGGCGTGGCGTTGTAGCACCAGGCGGCCTGCGAGCTGCGGCTCACGGTGGACCGCGCGTCGTCGTCCGCGGGCTGGTTCGGGGTGGTCGACCAGCCCGTCTGAGCGGCGGGTTGGCTCCATGGGTCGGCGGGAACCTGACCCCAGGGGTTCGCTGGAGGCTGCGACCAAGGGTTGGCGGCAGATTGGACGGGGGGCGGCTCTTCCCAAGGATTGGGCGTGGCTTGGTCCGTGTGGGCAGACGCGGAGTCGTCGTCGTCGTCGTCGTCGTCATCGTTGTCTTGGTCGTTTGCGTCCATGTCTAGGTCGGAGTCTGTCGAGGGCAAGAAGAACGTACCGCGCGCAACACGGTCACGGTCGACGGATGTTCACATCGTCCGTACTAAACGCAGGAAGGAGATCAAGAGCTTACCTGAGAGTCCGCCGGCCCATGGCCCCGCGTCCCCGCCGCCCTGCTCCTTCTGAGCCTCCCTCTTCTCGCGCTTCCTCCGCGCATGGTCCTTCTTCTGCGTCCTCTCCTCCGCCTCCTTCTTCTTGCGCTCCTCCATCTGCTGCATGGCGTACTCCTTGCAGACGCCCCGCTTGCAGATGATGCCGTGCACCTTGCAGAGGTTCTTCCACGGGAGGTGCTTGTCCTCTCTGTCCGCGCCGTAGTCGCGCCACACCGAGCTGCCCTCTTCGTCCTCGGAGACGTAGCGGTCCTCGACGCCGCCGTCGCGGCGGCCCCACACATTATTGCCCTTCGGGATCGCGTGCTGCACGGGAGCCTTGATTATGGAATGCACGGTGGGCAACACGTCCTCTTCGGAATCGGAGTCGTCCAGACTCGCGCTAGCCATAGACCGCGTGACGACGTGCGACTCCACATCACTGCCCGCGTCCGCAGCGGGGCCCGTACCGAATCCCCCGCGCGCCTGGCTCCCAAGATCAAACTGGAGGCTCTCGCTTTGGTCGTCCTCCACATCGTCGCTCCAGATGAACTTCTGTGCTGGCGGCTTGCGCCCGATGCCGGGAGGAGGCCCGAAACCGAGACCAGGAGGCGGGCCGAGGATGGAGCTGGGCGATTTGCTCCAAGCGCTCGGGGATACCGGTGTGCCGACAGGAGGGGTCCCAGCGGGCGAGGCAGAGCTCCACGCCGGAGAGCCAGGCGAGGTGCCAACAGAGGAAGGCGGCGCGGCGGCGACCGAGCTGGAGGCGCGGGACTTGGCCGCGGGAGGCCTGGTCGTCCCTGCAGAGCGACCATGTCAAGAGG